ACAGATAAGAAAAAAAACTGGTTATTAATATAAAGATTAAAAGTGACAGAAAGTATAGAGTAAATATATTAAATTTAATAATATGCTTTAAGCGGTAAACTAAAAAGATTGAGTCTTATGAAAAGTAATGAAAGGTGAAGTAATAGCAATTGAAAATACATTTAGATAATAATAATAATAGATAGAAATGTAAGAAACGTCCAAGAAATAATAATAAAAATAGGAGTATAATGAAAGAAAAAAAATAGTATACAAGACATAGATATATATAATAATTTAAAATGTTAAGGGAAAAACTTAAATATAAAGTCTAAAAAAATTTATAAGATAGAATAAGTAACTAAGAAATAATAATATAAAAGAAAAAAATAAGAGAGATAAAATAATAATAATAAAATATTATTAATATTAATATAGAGAAATTATTAATAACAACTTAAATGTTAATATTAATATGGAAAAACATATGGTCTTAATATAAGAAATTGAGAAAATATGGTATGTGAACATTTAGAGATAGGAGGAAAGGAGGAGATGATAAGGAAAAGTGAGAATAGTATCAAACAATTTATTAATATTAAGACAAAGAATAGATAGAAATGTTTGACAAATTTTCATAACTTATCAATATAATAAAAAATTATGAAAGATAAATTGGTACATCCCTACTTTCAACACATATATTATAAAATTATTATTTTTAAATTTAAATTAATAAGGAAACACTTACACTATTAAAATCAACAGCTTTAAGTTTTCTGTTTGAACTTCAAATTTGAAAATTACAATTTTTTAACAACTGTTAACAGATATGTTGAATCAGATGGTATATTAATAATTTTTTAATTATAAAAATGTCTTTTTTTTAAAATACATTGATTAGATTTTTACTCTTAAATTTTCTTTTATATCTACCATCAGATTTTTTTACTAGATTAATACATATAAAATCACAAATTATTAAAAAGTTATTCTAATATATATTTATAATTAATTTATAATTTATTAAAAATTTTATTAATTATAAATTTTTGAAAATACAAACAAACCGTGCAACGTATAAATTGAGGTCTAGTGTAAAATGATACCCAACCATTAAATAGAGACAAATTTTTTTTTCTTAAATTATAGAATTATTAAATATTTTTTAAGTGTAATGTAAAATGCAATATATGTTCTCTTCATTCTGCTATTGTTTCCTCACTAAATCCTAATTAACATTTTCTATATTTAATTGAAAAACCTAAGCATTCTATCATCTAATCTCTATTTTCTCCCCTCAGCCTTTAATACCCAACCATTAATTAGGGACTAAACTTTTTCCATTTTGTTTAAATTATAGAATTGTTGAATGCCTTTTAGTATAATATAAAATGCAGTATCTCCTTCTCTTAATTGGATCATGTTTTCCTCACTAAATCCTAATTAACATTTTACTAAAAAAAAATGGTTATTTGCTAGCACTAAATGCAACGGAAAATAAATAAAAAGCATTTGTAACTGCACCAAACCAGACATCCTTTTTTACTTCGTATCAGCACTCCGGATTGACCTGCAAAGCCCCGAGATGGATCTCGGAGTAGACACTCCGATGCTTAAGTCAGCAATAATCGGGGCTACCGATAGAGCGAAAATTAAAAGAGCGAAAATTAAAAGAGCTTAGGGTTGGTTTCAATCACCTTTTTGACGTGACCCTTGAGGGGTATTTATATGTTCCAATGAAGAACCCACGCAGCATGCTAAGCAAGACATTCGGGATTTGGTATGTATCTTTAGGCAGTTATTTTGGGATCGGGAAATTAAGCCTAGCAAGATATTCGGGATTTGATATGTATCTTTAGGCAGTTATTTCGGGATCGGGAAATTAAGCCTAGCAAGATATTCGGGATTTGTTGTGAGGATGTCCATCGTAACTGCTGTGCAGTCGTCCGAGCAGGGAGTTCTTGATGTAACTCTTCATTCCGGTTGTAAAGGAATTACTGTCGTACATCCGAGGTGCGGCACCTCGAACCTGCCCTTACAGCATTGGAATTATATTATTTTCCAATACTAAACGCTGAAAATTGTCACTATAAGAATACTGCCTAGATAATAATTAGTTTCCAATGCCATGTGATGTGCTAGAAAATAATTTACAATATTTTACAGTATAATGTGCTGAAAAATACACATAAACGGCAAGGTAATAACGTCTAATTATTTGCCATTAGCTTCTTTTTTCCAATACATTGCACTGGAAATTGTCTTGGTCATAATTCAGTATTTATTTTCCAACGCGGTATGCTAGAAAATGAGGTTGAGGATAATACATGTGATCAACTCATTTTCCAGTGTAATGCACTAAAAAATAATCTTGATCGTAGCCGCCATCAACTTGAGAACTTCCAGTACTCAACGCTATCAAAAAAATTGACTTATTTTCCAGCACTATTCTCGAGAAAATGAACTGAAGGATAAGCTACATGATCAACTCATGTTCCAGCGTAATATGCAGGAAATTCATGTTCAAATAAAAAAATAAATTAACTAACTCTTAGTTTCTACTGAAATGCACCGGAAACAGAGAGTCAATTAACAAAAAAAAGATATTTAATTTTCATTTTTTTTAAAATGTTATAATTT